TAACTTGAGAAAAAGTCTTCAGGAAAAGGACCTCTGCTTTAGTAGAGGGCAGTTAATATTTATGGATACAAGAAGTATTTCCACCATACCCTGGCACCTCCAGTCAATTAATAGAAAAGATAAAGCCTAACACTGAACATTAGGATACCATGTGTAGAGGGGAAAAAATGATAAATCCAAGGAGGGAGAGGGATGGGGGAGTGAGAGGAGAAAAAAGCAAGGTGTCTTGCTTAGATACTCTTATCTAGCAGTATGGCTCCTAACGGCTAAACAGGGAAGAAAACAGCAGCCCCCAAGCTATCAAACCACACTAGCTCTCAAAAAAGGAAAAAAATCCATAAAGATCACTTAACCAACTCCGCCTACAGAGGATATAATCATTAGTGTTTTTGTTGTTGTTGTGTTTTGTTTTGTTTTGTTTTAGGAAAAATAATCTTCAAAATAAGAGCCCTGAATTTCAAATGCTCTAATCTGAATGTTATCTTTAACATTATAGGGGAATTCCCTGGTGGTCCAGTGGTTAGGAGTGTCGCTTTCACTACCACGGGCCTGGGGTTAAATCCCTGGTCAGGGAACTAAGATCCCACAAGCCATGGCGGGGCGAGGGGGAGACGTTATAGGCAAAATCCCACAAATGTCTGCCATCTAAAATATGTTATGAAATGATTAGGCATCAGTCGATACTAAATCTGGAAAGGAGCAAAGCAGTAGGTAGAGATACCAGTGAGCAGAAAATATTGAAAATAATGGTTCTCTAGTTTATAAATCATCTCAATTTTTTAAATTGTAGGCATATAGGAATTGTAAGATATTTATGAAATTGGAGCAAAAAATTTCATTGAACAATTGTTCACTGTATTAATCACATTCAGCTCCATTTTTAAAATACAGTCCAATACTTAGCTCTTTATCTCATTTTAAGAAATTACAATAGAACATTGAATCTAAATTAACTAGATACCATTACACACTGTATTTAATTTTTAAAAAATAACCACTGGTTTTAAAAAAGAATGTTTTAGCGTTTTTCTCAGCAATTTCACTACAATGTTTGTATTACTTAAACATTTTTAAACATTAGTAGCTCACAGATTATGCTCCTTAATCTGATGACCAGACATGGAGCCATATAAGGTTTTGAAAATAGGCTCCATTTCCACCAGTTGCAGGCACAAGGTTTTAGGAGAGGACCAATATATGATTATTTTATTTATACTTTACCTCACTTAAAAAGGATTTGAGAGGACACAGAACACCTGTTCAGAAAATATATTCTTCAATAAAATACAGAATGCTTAGCACAATATTTTAACCAAAATATCATTGCCAATGTTCTTTAACCTTGCTTGTCAAAATGAGGAGATTATCAAATTTGCAATTTTACTAAATACAGAAGAGAGGAGAGGACAAAACCTTAGGGCTCTGCTTGAAAACAACTCATTAAATTGGGAACTATCTTTACTTCAGTAAGAAAGGAATCAAATCAAACACGTAAATAATTTTGATGGTGGGATGAGATGAAAGGAACTTAATTTTTAAAAAGGCAAGATTTAATTTATACATAAATTAAGCTGTTGATTATTTACTTTATGTTCAGTTATCCATTTCAGAAAGATAGAAGATTCCTATTCATCTGTTATAAACTAATTGCATTTTCTCTATTCTATTTTCACATAACTTTTCTGAATCCTGTTACTGTCAATATAAAAGGTAACTCTATGGGGCATTGGAAAAGAAATACAAAGACTCTACAGTATCTTAACTAAGCTAAAGTTTGTACTAGTCTCAAAAACTAGAAGTATTTTAAGTAAAAAAGTATTTAAGAAAATTCTGCAGTTTATCATGAAGCACAAAATAACTTAAAACTATTCTGGAGTTGTCACAGTCTAAGAGTATAAACTTCCCCAGATGGTTATTTGAAGTATTAAGCTACATCACCAGTGTGAAAAAAGCGTGGCTTTATCATTATGTATACATCATAGAGGGAAGGGGATCCATCATGGTCCTATGTTGAAAGAAGTCAACTTTCTTCAAATCAAGCTGTGAATTTAACAATTCCAATTTACATACAAGATTACTTAGAGTCTGAAAAAAAAAAAGGTTCTAAAGTTCATTTTAAAATAAAAATGTATAAAAGTTAAAAATTTGCATAAGAATGAGGAGGGGCTGGCCTCGCCAGTAATACGGTAATAAAGGTAATAATACTTCATTCATTAAAACAGTGGATACTGGTACACTTTGTAAGGGTAAAGTGTAAAAAAAGAATCTAAGAAAACTCAAAATACTAAAAGAAAAACATACTTACTATATAATAGTTGGGGGAAATGGAGAAGATAAAAAATTTTACCAGTCAGAAAAAAAAAAAAGACTTGACTACCTAAAACACACAGGTACACACTTTTCCTCCATGTTAAATACATGTACAAAGTTGAAAGACAAAACAAAACAGAAACAAGACAAAACAAAAAAAAAAACAAGGTGGGCAAAAACTGCAACATATCACAGAAGAACAATCTTCCTATTAAAAAGATTAACACAGCAATACATTGCAGCACAAGCAAAAGACTGAGTATGAAATTTACAACTAAATGTAACTAGTATTAAATATATGAAAAACATTCAATGGAACTAGTAATTAAAGAAATGAAAATAAAAAACAGAAAACAGTAAAAAGCCTGATACTTAGTAAGGGGAAATGGGGACCATCATACAATGTTACAAGGACTATGAATAGATACAACCTTCCTATAGGGCAATATGTAACAAAGTTTAAAATGTGCACCACTTCTGGCCCAATAATTCCTCTTTCAGAATGTAAACTAAGGAGATCATCTCTCAAAGATGTAAGCATATGAATTCATCACCATGTTGTTTGTAATCTTGACAAATTGAAAATAAACTAAATGCCCATCAATAATAACAATGAATACATATTAGTACCTCATAAACAAAAATGTCATGCATTTATTAAAAATGATGGAGGGATCATAAATTTATTTTATTTTTTTAATTATTTATTTATTTTTTGGCTGCGTTGGTCTTTGTTGCAGTGCACGGGCTTCTCACTGAGGTGGCTTGTTGCGGAGAACAGGCTATAGGTGCGTGAGCTTCAGTAGTTGTGGCACGCAGGCTCAGTAGTTGTGGCTCACGGGGTCTAAAGCGCAAGCTCAGTAGTTGTGGCACATGGGCTTAGTTGCTCTACGGCATGTGGGATCTTACCCAACCAGGGCTCGAATCCATGTCCCCTGCATTGGCAGGCTGATTCTTAACTACTGCGCCACCAGGGAAGTCCCTCATACATTTATTGACATGAGAAAATTACTCAAGATATTTTACATGGACGCTCCATGTGAGCAGGGGCCCTGGATGTATTGTTCTTCAATCTTATTTCCAGCACCTAGAACAGTGCCTTGTATATACAAAAGAGCTTCCCAGAAAGTATTTATTAAATAGATGAATTTTGAGGCTGGTGAAAGAACAACCATAATATGGTTCCTTTCTCTCTCCCTCCTTACCTCCCTCCCTTCCTTTCCCTCCCCCCACAGAAATATAATTGGAAGGATAGTCACAAAAGGTTGACAGGTAATGGAGTTTTGGTGTGTGTGTTGAACTTTCTTCTTTCTTCCTCTCCGTACTGTCTAAATGCTGTATATAGTAAGCATGTCTTATTTTTATGATTGGAAAAAGTGACAGAATTGTTTTTTAAGAACTCATATATTTAAAATGAACTCCAGAATGTTCAGTGCCTACAGCTCACAAACTCCAAAACCTAAGATCAACAGTGTCCAAGAAGCATTTTTCTTTAATCTTCAAAGAAATATCAGTATGCCTTGTACAATGTAGCATCTTTCTCCAGTACCAGGAAATGCCACACTATACTAATAAAATGCAGCATTTCCAAAAGGAAAAAGCACACTTTTTCTATAGTGAAAAGGGAAAAAAACTATAAGTAATTAATTTCTTAATTCTCCCCTCTCTTCTACTAACATAAACCCTATTCTAATGGGTGGTAAAGATCACTATGCACCATCATCTTTGGGGGGGGGCTAAAAATCCAGTGAATCCAAGAGTAATGCGCTCTATGCCAATTCTTTCATATCCTCATGAAGGCTTCCTTCATTTTAAAGACAGTTGAACAATTGAAATATCAAAAGTAGCTACACACTCTATGTCATATTTATCCATTACCCGGGTTTATTTTATTCATAGTCTTTATCACTATCTGAAATAACCTTATTCGGAATTTTATTATCTGTCTCTCCCTTCTGGAATGTAAGATCTTTGAGGACAGGAATTCTGTCGTGCTCGCCACTGTGTCCCCAGTGAAAGGCATCTAATGAAAAGGGGGGGGGGGCACATCTAAACAAGGTAATAAATAAGGAATTGGGAAAAAAAAAAAAAAGGAAAGAAAACCACACTTAAATGTACAAGCTGACATGACTCAAGGCTACAACGCCAGCTCTGACATTTGGTGGACATTTTTCAAGGTGGACAGGTGCTTCACACCTATCTAAGGACACAGAGCTCTTCCAGGAAGAAGAAAATCCACAGGGAGGTCTCCAGGTGGCTGTGTGCAGCTCACCGAAGGGTGAAAACGATCATCACCATAATAGAAACGTGGCCCAGGTCGAGGGAAAAAAACCAAAACAAAACACAATACACCATACATCTTGGCCCAGATGAAAAATCACACGAATCCCCAACACAATCAAACCAAGCAAGCAACCTTCCGCCTGACACGTAAGAAGAGCATAGTCTCCTTTCCCCTGGCTGTGCAGTTGCCTGAAGCCCAGCCATCCCCTCACTCGCCACTTTTCTCTTGCAATGAACCCCCCGCCCCAGCTGATGCACAGGGAGAGGGAATGGGAGGAAGAGTCTGAGAATTAGCTTTCTCCACCCCCATCCGATCCCAATCCCCTCCAAAGCGAAATTTCTCCCACCCTCGCCTGTCCCCAGGCCTCGACCCCCGCCACGGGATCCTCCAGCTGCCCCTCACTCACGTGTAGATGATGGCCATGAAATGCATCAGCCACAGCACCAAGAAGAGGACGAACCCGAAGACGGCCATTCCCTCCAGCGCCAGGTCCAGCAGCGCCATCCCCCGGCCTGGCCCGCTCCGGCCGCCGCAGCGGACAGCGCTCCCGAAGAGGACAGGGTGGGCGCCCGGCGCGGGGTCGCAGAAGTGGAGAGAAAGGTGGCGAGAGGAAGGGGCGGAGGGGGGTGGGGGCGGAAGGGGCGGGCAGGGCCTGCGCGCCCCCGCCCGCGCGCACTCGCTGGCGCGCTGGCCTGGGCGCGCTCGCGGATGCAGGCGTTGCGGTGGCCGGACGCAGTGGGCAGGGCGGCCGTGGCCCCGCGCTCCGGCTCGCCTCTCCACCCCCTCGCGGCCGCCGGCCGGATCCCAAACGCCTGCGCCGCCGCCGCCGCCGCCCCGCCGCCTCCCCGCCGCCTAGCCGCCTCCCCGCCGCCTCGCCGCTGGGCTCCGGGCAGCGCAGCTCCGTGCCCTCCTTTGCAGCCGCAACTCCGCGTACTAATCGAAACCGCCGGCTTGTGCCCAGACTCGCCGGCGCACCCAGCCCCGCCCCGGCCCTCCGGAACCGCGGCCTCCCCCCGCCCTCCCGCCTCCGAAGGGCGGTGCGCGCCGCTCCTCTCCGCCCACCCTGCCGCCCTCGCGCCGGTGGCGTCACTGTCGTGAGCGCGCCCCTGGGAGACTTCTCCCCAGGACGCAGGCAGGGTTTTCCCCCACCTCCGGGCTCAGGCCTCCGCCCACCTCTCAGTGACCGGTGGAGGCTACCCGGGCGGCCAGCACTGCAGCCCTGGGCCGGCCTCCGTCGGCGGAGCGGGTCCCTGTATCCAACTCGGAGAACACTTTCCCTTTGTCCGGTTCTGGTGTTCCAGGGCGCCCCAGGAAAAGACCTGGGGTTCCAGGCAGACCCCGAGTTGTCTCGCAGTCCAACTTCCAACGCTGGTTTCGCAGCCGCTGCGCCGGGCATTACTCGGAGCGGCTCAGGCCCTCCTCCAAGACACGTTCCTGGGCGCCAGGGTGTCCCATGGCCTTCCTCCCTCGCTGGTTCTAATGCTGTGGAGTCTTGGATCACAACGGACCGAGAGTAAAATAATCTCCTTGTGCTTCGCAGATCTCTAAACACCTTAGAGGCAGCGTGTAACATAAAAGAAATTCTCAAACTCAGAATGTAAAGAATCAGTTAATACTGAAGTCCTCAAAGACTACTCCTGCCCAATACTGTAGCCATAGTGGGGTACTGAGCGCTTGAAATGTGGCTGGTAGGAATTGAGATGTATTGCGAATGTAAATCATATACCTGATATCGAAGACCACCTCATTTCTTTTATATTGATTACATGTTGAAACAATATTTTGATATACTGAGTTAAATTATTTAAATTATTTCACTGTCTTTGCTGTTGTTTTACTTTTTAAATTTGGTTAGCTACTAGAAAATTTAAAATTACACAGGGGGATAGCACTGCTCTAAAATGGAAAGAAATGGCATTTTGGATAGTAAGGTAATTTAGTGTTTATCTTAATTTTAAATCAGTCCAGGGAGATGGGTTAATCTAGTACTAAATGTTTCTGTTTGTTTCTTCAGCCTAGATGAGTTTATATAGTTTCTCTATTGTTTTATGTTTAGACGATGTTTATTCAAGTGATTTCCTTTTAAATAATCCAGGACCTCCCTTGAGAGATTTCAGAATGGAATTCAATTTTGAAAAGAAGTTGTTTATTTTATTATTGTTATTTATTATAGCTAATATTGATCGAATGAGCTACCTCAATCTATAAGTAAATGATAAACTACAATCAGAAAAGAGTTTAAATTAATATCTATACTGAGAACCAATCCTGGATTTGCTATACCCTTTGTTTTACCTGGTTAAAGTCAGTAAGAAAGAACAGGGCTTAGAAACCAAACTTCCATTGTTGAGAGTTACTGGTTGATAAATTAAAGTTATAGCCCAATAGTATATTAACATGGAAATAACACTACAAGTGGAAATTTTAAAACATCACTATTTTAGTTAATCAATTCTAAGACATACTTTTTAAGAAACATTTCATTTTAACATTTCTGAAATGGAAATGCATCTCACAGTCAACGGCATCTTACAACTAATTGGTAGATTTTTTTTTCTTAATCGTATATAAAATAATACTGCATTCAATTAATGTACTTTAAGATTTGATGAACTATATCAATTGGTCAATTTAAGCATTTTGTTGTATTCTACATTTCTCCAAATGGTTTTTGGAACCTTACAACAAAGGATTTTATACAGTATGATCAATGACTTGGAAAAGGAGGCCAAAGAAAGTTGAAAGAACCCGATATTCTTAACAGTTAACAGAACTCCTCTGATTGAGTATAATCAGTAGATAATAGATCAGCTATGTTGTACTTGAGCCTAGTTAAACTTGGTCTGTCCAAACTTGGTTGATGAGTTTAAAGTAGCAGCTTTAGAATGTGCAATCCTAACATTCTATAGATATAGAATATTCTATAGATATAGACATCTATATTCTATAGATATAGTATAAGTGTAAATTTTTTCCATGTAGCACAGCAGCATAGGAGTCTAGCAAAGACCCTGTCCACCAATCTCACTTTTGGCAGCTAACATTGTTTTGCTTGTTTGTCTAAAGGGCTCTCCTCAAATTCTACCAAGTTCAGGGCCTCTGACTTTTTCCAGTCGCAATCTAGTAACATTAGTATATATTAGAATTCATACATTTTAAGAAGCAATGTTTTTAGAGTTAAACAAAAGCCAAATTTGACTGTCATTTAATGGCCCTAGATAGTTTAGTTATAAAACCTTAACCAGAAAAGGATGCAAAATGTCTGGTTCAAACCAAGTAGTTGGAACACATTTTCAGTTTGAACCAAATCCAAGCCAAAATAATTGTAGCTGATTCCAACTGAAACTGAAATGAAATTATATTGGTTCTAGTCACATGTCCCAGAAAAGACAAGAGTGGAGGCCGGGAGAACACAGGTACATAAGTTACCTCAGAGAAATGAAACAAACTTTGGCAAGTTGATACTCTGTTACACTGTGCCCCAAATGCCTATATATAAAAGTTAGTTTTACATTTTTTAAAGTTGTAATATTTTCAATAATCAGGATTCTTTTTTTAAAGATGTATTTTATTTTTTAATTAAGTAATTAATTAATATTTGCCTGCATTGGGTCTTCCTTGTGCTGTGCACAGGCTTTCTCTAGTTGTGGCGAGCTGGGGCTACTCTTCATTGCAGTGCGCGGGCTTCTCATTGTGGTCAGTGGCTTCTCTTGTTGCAGAGTATGGGCTCTAGGCACACAGGCTTCAGTAGTTGTGGTTCGTGGGCTCAGTAGTTGTGGCTCGTGGTCTCTAGAGTGCAGGCTCAGTAGTTGTGGCACATGGGCTTAGCTGCTCTGTGGCATGTGGAATCTTCCTGGACCAGGGATCGAACCACCATCCCCTGCGTTGGCAGGCAGATTCTTAACCACTGTGCCACCAGGGAAGTCTAATAATCAGGATTCTTGATTTGGATTGCGTCTAAGAAAAACATCATCTTTAGTGAGATTTCTAGAAAAATCAAGTTTAAAAGGTGACACAAAGCCTATATACAGAAAAAAGACTAAAAGAAATTACACCAGACAATTATGAGTACTTATCTTTGAGGAATGAAAAGGGTTGATTTTTTAAAATCTACCCGTTTATATTGTTGACTTTCTATAATGAGCATTACTGTTTCCATGAAGAAAAATGACCATTTTCTATTTTACAAACGAGTTATCAATGATGAAAAAATCATGTAGAAATTTTTCATAATTTAAAAAAATATTACAAGTGAAACAGTCACTTTGGAAGATAGTTTGGCATTTACTTACAAAACTAAACATACTCTTACCATACTATCCAGCATCACACTCCTTGCTGTTTAGCCAAATGAATTGAAAACATATCCATACAAAAACCTGCACAGCTTTATTCCTAATTGCCAAAACTTGGAAGCAACCAAGATGTCCTTCTGTAGATGAATGGATAAATCCATTGTCTGGTACATCCAGACAATGGAATATTATTCAATGCTAAGAAGAAATTAATTATCAAGTCATGAAAGACATGGAGGAAACTTAAAGGCATATTCCTAAGTAAAAGAAGCCAATCTGAAAAGGCTACATACTGTATGATTCCAATTATATGACATTCTGGAGAAGGCAAAACTATGGAGACAGTAAAAATGTCAGTGGTTGCCAGAGGGGAGAGAGGGAGGGATGAATAGGCAGGTCACAGAGGATTTTTAGGGCAGTAAACCTATTCTGTATGATACTATTCAATATAATGGTAGATACATGTACTATACATTTGTCCAAAACCATAGAACGTACAACATGAAGAGTGAACCCTGGGGCTTCCCTGGTGGCGCAGTGGTTGAGAGTCCGCCTGCCGATGCAGGGGACAAGGGTTCGTGCCCCGGTTCGGGAAAATCCCACATGCCACGGAGCAGCTGGGCCCGTGAGCCATGGCCGCTGAGCCTGCGCGTCCGGAGCCTGTGCTCCGCAACGGGAGAGGCCACAACAGTGAGAGGCCCGCGTACTGGAAAAAAAAAAAAAAAAAATCTAAAAGAGTGAACCCTAATGTAAACTGTGGACTTTGGGTGACTGTGATGTGTCAATGTAGGTTCATCAGCTGTAACAAATATACCACTCTGGGGCAGGATGTTGACAGTGGGGGAAGCTGTGCGTATGTTGGGCAGGGAGTATATAGGAACTGTATTTTCTGCTCAGTTTAACTGTGAACCTAAAGCTGCTTTAAAAATAGTCTTTTTTCTTTTTTTTTTTTTGCGGTACGCGGGCCTCTCACTGCCGTGGCCTCTCCCGTCGCGAAGCACAGGCTCCGGACGCGCAGGCCCAGCGGCCACGGCTCACGGGCCCAGCCGCTCCACGGCATGCGGGATCCTCCCGTACCGGGGTACGAACCCGCGTCCTCCCCTGCATCGGCAGGCGGACTCCCAACCACTGCGCCACCAGGAAAGCCCCAGTCTATTTTTTAAAAAAAATAAGTGAGTGCTCCATTTGAAGTACTGGAAATGTTATAAGTGTCTGAATTAGTGAGATAAAGTAGTTTGTCATCAAATCCCAGGGCTTTCCACCTTCTAGGCACTCAAATATTTGTTGAACAAGTGAATTAGTTTATTTAAACTGATCTACACTGAGAGAAGTCACTAGAAAAATTGTTCAACTTTCTCCTTTGTTGCAAATACTTTAAATATGTTTTTTTTCTCTGTGGAAAACAAATACACATTAACTACTCATAACCCTCCTTCAGGTTATAAAATTAGACCACAGAGTTAGAGTGAGTGAAAGTAACTACATATTAGTTCACCTAATCACAACCTGAAGACCTGCTCCAGAGCCCATGCTCTACTTGACAGTCAACAGCATCATTTTTATGTCAATATTGGACATACAGTTGACCCTTGAACAACAGGGCTCCACTTATATGCAGATTTTTTTTCAGTAAATACTACTACAATACTACGTGATCCGAGGTTGGTTGAATGTGGCTAATGTGTTATTTTTTAAAAGACAGGTATATTGTAAATTTTCAGCCCTTATAAAAACTTTTTTAAAATGTAAAAAGTGATCCTCTAGAAATTGGGTAAGTTTGAAGTTTCAAAAACAAAGTTAGAATCAATTGATCTGAAATTTGTTGTGCTAATGCCCAAAGAAACAATTTAATTCTTGTCATTTTTTTCCCCTAAGCATGTTTGAAATTAGTAGAAAAATGCCTTATCTACTTATCAGTTCAGGTGCTTAACCTACAGTGGTTTTTTTACCCATTAAATGGTAACTTTGTAAAGGCCTTCAGATCCTCAGATACTATATCACTATGAATAGACTTCAAGTGTACAAAGGTTCTAGGCAAATTGTCAGTTCAAGGCCTGATCTTGATAAACCACTGGTATAGTGTGTTTGTATGTATAGGTGTGGTCCAGGGGAGTGCCTAGAGTTTACTAGAGTTCGTTTCATTCTCAGCTGTTTTGCTGGCTCATATCCAAAGGACTAATTAAAATGTTTTACCTCATACTCATTTCTTT